GTCTTAGATTTGGCACGGGTGCTCACGTTTACAGCTAATTATTCTTTCAGTGGTAAGCAATGCACCTGTCAACAGCGAGGCGCCCGAGTCTTCCGGATGTGCTCATAGGGGTAAGGTGTACATGTGTGCTTTCATAGGGGTGAGTGTATGCGCGTTGTGAGCGTCTGCGTTTGTACTACATTTCTCAAAAAAAAGAAGAAACATCTAGGCCTTATAATGGTCCAATCATGTTCCATTAGTATCAAAGTTGTCTGTTTCAGCTCAAAATCGTCCGGTTCAACCAGTCTAAGGTGGGTTGAATGCAAGTATGTTTTTTTCTTAACCATGACTTCGAGGTGAAATTTAGTGGGGAAAGAGGATTTATCGATTTGGGGAGGGTGGAAGAGAATGTTTCAACTTCAACTTCTTAAGGTGGTGTTGGTGGATTTTGGCTTGTGTGGGAATGAGGAAAGATACAAATGGATTTTTTTTTTTTGGATTTGGTTTGTCATCAAGAGAAAAATCTGTCAAACTAGTCAGGTACCTGTGCGTTGCAACGGGGAAAATATAACTCTTTGAGAAATTTTATGACTCATCATGGACAAACACTTCTATAATTTGATGTTGGCATAAACGAGTTTTCAGAGGGGAAAATATTTCCCACAAGATGGCATAAACTAATTTGTTATCCCAAGAAAGAAATTCAACATATGAATTCACCCTGTAGCTATTTCTAAACTCAGATACATATTTATTAAAATGAATAGGGCCAGGCATTGCAGATTTGAATGGGATAAAGATGGAGATAGAAGAGTATGGAATTTTCACCAGAGTTAGATGATACCTTCAGGGCTCTGGATTTATCATCTTAGAAAGGAGTTAAAGTTCAAAATTTCAGTTTACAATTCACTTCTTTCCATAACTTTTCCATTTGATCATGGTTTCAGCACAAACAGCCAGAACCTACACAAGGAGTATGAAATTAATTTCGTGATCTTGACTTTCTTAAAATCATTATGCATACCTAAAATTTGGCATGGTACAAAAAAAATAATTGGATGGCAGCTACGCAACATACTATTCTTCTACAGAAAAACTATAGAACGGCGTCCCGTGCGGCTACGGGATAAATATACAACCCAACCATTTTCTGTTTTCTCAGATCCGTTTTCTCCCTCGTCTTCGTCAGACAGTCGCCATCCACCTTATCCCTCCCTTCCTCGATGACTCCGCCCCACATTCACCATCCTCCTCCCTCGACTCCTCTGCCCCAAGGTCACCATCCTCCTCCTCTCTCTCTTCCTGCGATCCCATCTCCGGTTGCCAGAGAACCAATCGATGACGTCCCCAATGCCAATTGCGCCCTCCATCTTCTTCCCCTTCCTACACCAGATTGGAGGGCATCAGTGAGAGTGTGAAGGCTGGTGACATCATGGGCCCGCCGGAATTGGTGAGGTCAGCAGAGAGGAAGGCAACCAGGGTAGCAAGATCGACGTTGTCATCGCTGAGGAGGGAGAAGAGAGAAGAAGCGAGGAGGAGAAGGATGAGGCTTGGGGCATCGGCGACAAAGTGGAGGCAGTCATTCCCCACCGTGGAGGGTGATCTTGGAGTTGACAAAGTGGAGGTCGCAAGGTGTTTCCTGTAGGTCTCGAGGTTGTCGCATTGTGTTCCTCGCTAGCTCTTCGCTGCTCGTCTACGTTGTCTACAAGTATGCCATCCGTTTCATCCTCAATTGATATCAGGTATCAAGCCTGATACCTCAGGTATCATCCATGATACCCCATGGTATCAGGCATGATGATTCCTCGGGTAACATCCATGATACCTCATGTATCATCCATGATACTGATACCCTGTGGTATAAGGGTTGGTACCTAGGTACCAGCTGATACCCATAGATACCAGGTTACCAAGTACCAGGTATCAGGTATCATGCTGTGAGGAGGGAGCTCGGGCTGTCACCCGCTTGGCCAGTAGGTGAGCCATTTACCTTTGACTCCTATTTTCTTCCTCCTTTCTCCCCTCGACACACTACATCCTTTTCCTATTATTGATGTGGTCCACAAGGGAAGGAGTCAGCGAGCATAGCTACAATACCGAGCAGGCTCCTGGCTGGGGAAAGCGCCGCCGGTGCAGTTCTGCTCGGAGTGCTGCCACTGGCGAGGTATCGCACTCAAAGGCACGCGATACCGAGCAGGCTCCTAGCTAGGGAAGGCGCCACTGGTGAGGTTTCTGTGCGAAGGCAGCGAGTGGGGGCAATCACATGGACAACATGGTGCTCAGTCCGAAAAAAGACGTATAAAATCTTGTTTAGTTATCCAGTGACTTCCTATCGTAACGGAATCCTGTGCTGGAGCTGCCCTCATTCTTCTAAGGCCATCCATCATTTATACTTCAGAACTCTTATATGATTATATGGTTGTGAAACTTTCTAACTTGTTATATTTGCATAGAAAAGATACCTGATTTTCAGAGGACAGGGGGTGTCGAAAATACATAAGCATAAATGGAGCTGCAAGAAGCATGGATGAACTAAAACTAAAATAATAGTTACATTGTGTATAGGAAAGGAATGGTAACGGAGCGGGTGGGGCTGGGTTGGGTTGGAACGGCCCCGTCCTAACCCCGACTTCACCCCCCGCCCCCGGCCCCGAATGGAGATGCGGGGCCAAATCAGGTCCCGTCCCCGACCCCTCCGGGGCTCCGCACCCCGACCGGGGCCCCACATTGGATAAAATCTCCATCCCATCAGCACAAAAAATACAAGACAATCATCGATTCGACAAGAACAAATATTGTACATAATTCACACACCATCAAAAATAGCATAATTGTACATAATTGACTCTTAGTGCGTGAAGCCGGCCCGTGAATTGCCGCTGCCGCGCCTGTGCCTTCACCGGCCGCCGCGCCTGTGCACCACGCTGACCGCCGCGCAGCTCGCCGGCCACCACGCCTGTGCCCTCCCCGTGCTTGTGCACCCTGCGCGCCGCTCGTGCGATGTGCATTGTCGGCACTCGGCAGACCAGAGGGAGAGCCAGAGAGGGGAGAGAAGGGGAGCTGGGGATAGGAGAGGCTGAGAGGGCGACCAGCGACCGCCGCACCCTGGCGCCCTACGCTGCACCGTGCCACCGCCGCCTGTGTGTGGGACGGGAGGAGAGATAGGGATTGGGGAGAGACTGGAGAGAGAGAGCTAGGATTTGGTTTATATATATCAATATTTTGTTGGGTTAGGCTCTTTTGGGTCTTTTATGGGCTACATTTTAAGAGTTTAATATACACCCCCGGAGCCCCGCGGGTGAAATGCCTCCCCCATCCCCTCCCCGCCCAAATGCGAGGCCTCGGCCCTGACTCCCCCGCGGGTCACAAATTGAACCCGCCCCCACCCCCGTAGGGGTGGGTCCTGGGGAAATTGCCATCCCTAATTGTGTAACATCCAATCCCAATCCCAGTGCATCCAAACATGGGAATGACGTTAGAAATCTCAATCCAAACCCACCTCCCATCACCATGTCACAGCATCTTCAACAGTCTCCCCATCTCACTCTCCAAGCTAAATTTTAGCCATTCTAGCAAAAAAAAAAAGGTGCTCCAACAGCCTCTCCAACCGGATGGCTAAGCCATCCGGCTGGCCAAAACCCCCTCTCCACTAGTCAAATTTGGCCAGCCACAAATCACTGGCCAATCGTGGGCCCCAAACAGATTCCCCACCACCCCCCCATCTCCTTCGTCTCTCCAGCCACGACTCGACGCTGCCGCCACCGTGCACAGCCACGATCTCAACGCCACCGCTGACACAGCCATGACCTCCTCGATACGGCGCAGAAGGGCGGGCCGGCGGCGGAGAGAACGACTGCGCACGTCTTGAACCCACGCCGGAGCGCCACCATCGTCGTCGAGGTCACCAGTCGTTGTCGCCGTCGTCTGCACCGTCGCCAGTCATCGCCATCCACCGCCGTTGTCCCCGAGGTTGCCGTTGCCGTCGTTTGGATCCGGCTCTGCCCGACCTCCGTTGCCTCCGGCGTGACGTGGGTTCGGGGCAGCGTGGCGTGGATTCGGGAGGAGGGGGCAACCTCCGTCGCGCGGCTTCCGCCGCCTCCGCCTACACCTCCCCAGCGCTGCGGGTGCGGCTCGGGAGGGCGGTGAGGAGGCGAGCTTGGCCCTGCACACCGTCGCCGTCGTTGAAGCTGGAGGTGGCGGCGGCGTCTCGGCTTCGTCGTGGTGGTGGCGGCGGCGTCCCCCGGCCTGCGTCGGCCCTGAGAAGGGGAAAAGAAGGATAGAGGGACTGACACGTGGGTCCCATGGCTAGAATAGAGAGACTGTTGGAATGATAGATAAATTTGACTCTCTAATTTTTTTTAGATGGCTGGCCAAATGAGTATTTGGAGAGCTCAAAATAACTAATCCGTTGGAGATGCTCTCATGTGCTATTCCCATTTCTAACGCGCATCCAGCACTAGGACTGTCAACGAGCCGAGCTCGAGCGAGCTTAGATCCTTAGGCTCGAGCTCGGTATGAACTCGAGTCGAGCCTGGACTAACCTTCGAGCTTGCAGTCAAGCTCGGGATCGGCTCGGACGAGCCTCGAGCCTAATCGAGCTCGCATCAACGCAACACAAGCATGTGTACATATTTCAAAAAGTAGAGAAGCTGACAGAGAGCTGCAGCTGGGCACGTTGTGTAGAGATACGGCCATACGGGAGCACTAGTGTACTGTACTACTAGTACTAGCACAGGAGTAGTCTGCTTTGCTACTACTACTAGCTTTGGGAGTAGTATTCAAGAATTGATTGCTTCTGTACTTCACATAGACTAATGTTGGAGTAGTAGCAGACCAAGGAAAAGCATCGATGATTTTTTATTGGAGACCAAGGTAAAGCATGAGACATAGCAGTTACTAACTAGTACTCGAGTCTTTACCGAGCTATTCGAGCTCGGCTCGTTAAAGTGCACGAGCCTCATTTCAAGCTCGAGCGAGCCGAGCCTATAACGAGTCGAGTTCGAGTAGCTTGCGAGTCTCGAGCTTTTTTTTTTTTTTTTTTTGACAGCCCTATCCAGCACGCCAACGGAATTCTCCCCCACCCCACCTCCTCCCGTGCAAAACCTCCACCACCACCGCCACCACCGCCGCGCAAAACCCTCCATCGCTGCCATGCCGCCGCCGCCGCCGCCGCTGCCGCTGCACCACCAGATTATCAAGGTGCATCCCGTGGTTGCGGCGATCTTCTCCGTTCCCCTCATCCCCTCTTCTTGGCGCTGACCGATTGGATTCTCCCCCGCACAAGCACACGAATCCGTGGAGCGGGCCGGGGGTGGTTTGGTTTGGATTCTGATGCTTCTTTCTTGGGTTTCTTGCTCTGCGCTGCTTATAGGTGGCAAGGGACGAGGATTTCCGCTCGCGTATCGGGAACGATGGCCGCTACTTCGATCTTGTCGACTTCAGCGCAATCGACGTATTCTACGTTCCGAATAGCTTGACCGTCTACGAGTTCAAGGTAGTACCACCATATATTTCCAGATTTCCTTGAATCCCGGATGATGCCTATGCCTCTTTTTCGATGGTTTCTTTCTTTTTCTTTTTCTCTTTTTTTTTTTGGCGAGGTTCTATGGTTTCTTTTTAGTCAGTGACATTTCGTGCACTGTTGTTATTCGGAAAATTATGTCAGAAGATGGATATGGGCCATATGGCGTCATCCTGTTTAGGATTAGAGGCTAATTAAGTTTGATAGTTCAGAAAATATGATGAGCATTAATTAGGGAAATGAGTTGCATGGCATGACATCTGCTGTTTTGAAGGAAATCTTTGTACTACAACTTAGGAATGTTCCTAGTCATTGTCATGGGAAGTATTGTGCTGGAGAACATGTAAACCAACCATTGCATTTGGTCCTTGTGAAGTTGTACTATATATACCACTCCAAAATAGTGAATTGGTAAATTAAAGTACAGCTCCAAAGTATGGTCTCTTTTAAATGTGCTACTTTAGGACACTTCTACTCTAATAATGACAATGTGATTATTTGCCACATGTAAGCTGACAACCCTGTATGACTATTTATTGTGCAGCTCGTCATTCTTATGCTCTATATTACGTATAGATACCTTATAGGTTCAACTTGTCACAGGGTACGCTCATGGAGAAATTTGGAACCCCTGTGCAATGTCAACACCTCTGGTGGTGGGCTAGACGACTAAACAAAACATACCGTGTAGACAGGCCATTGACAACCGAAGAGGAGAAACTATCTGTAAGTTAACATTGTGATCGCCTTATTTTCTGATTGGTTCTTCATACTGTTTTGTTCCATGCAGGTGTGCAGTAAAAAGTATTCTTTTCATTTTGGCCTTAAGTCTGCTGTGTTGAGTAAGAAATCAGAGAAGGAAGGGTTTCCTTCAAACCTGTGCATGTCTGATTGTTTTGCCTGAACTAGCACAAACTAAACATAGATCCATTACTTCATTTTTCTAGCGGTTGACAACTTCATATGAATTTTGTGCTTCCTTGATTGGCTTCTTTGGCACCACAATTTTGAATTACGAATTCTGCTCTCGTTACATATGTCTTTTATTTAGTGCTACTAAGCGTTAAATGTTAGCTTGCAGTCATGCCATTTCATTTTCCTCAAAGGTGTGCTGAAGAGCAGATAAAGTTTTTGAAAGCAACATTTGACTCTCAATTGATTGCTTTTTTTTTTAGCACGCCCGTTGGGTATATTCACTTTCAGAAGCTTGGTCTATTTGTAGCCATACCATCTTGATCAGATAACTTCTTATTAAAAAGTTAAATTTGATATGGTATGTGCCATTGTTACCCTTGTCATTCTTTGCTCAGCTATGGCTTCGTTCGTTGCTGGGTGATTGGGAGAGAAAGCCCCTCGTTTTCCGTGCGCACGCTTCCCGAACTACTAAACGGTGCGTTTTTTGCAAAAAATTTCTATAGGAAAGTTGCTTTAAAAAATCATATTAATCCATTTTTAAAATTTAAAATAGTTAATACTCAATTAATCATGCACTAATGGCTCACCTCGTTTTACGTATCTTCTCAATCTCCTCAATCCCCTTCTCCTCAAACACACCCTATGTGTAACTATTCTTTGTTTTATGGTTATGCATGTCCTTTCTGTGCAAGGAAGAATTCTGCCTTTTGATTTGCGAAGTTCATACGGAAAGATCTAGAGATACCCTTTCTTCTAGTGAAAATTAAAATTACAAATGCACATTATTGTAGGTATCAAGCCTAAGGCATGGTGGCGATCATCTAAACTTTTTCTTGGAGGTTGAGCTTGAACTTTGGATAATATTTTACTATTCTTTTGGGTGAAAAGAATCCTTTTGATTTCATCCATCGATTTATCATTCTGTTGAAGTCTCAAAATATTGGCATGTTGTAGGTGCTCCACCCTCATTCCCAACCACTCAGAGATCAACGAAGATGATGCGCTGGTGTTTCTAAAGCTTTTTGACCCAGAAAAAGCACAGCTACAGTCAGCACTTTTTTGTTACAACTTATTTTGTCTTATTTATCAGTTGATGATACTAAATTTTGCTCCTCTTCTGAACGAGGAATTAAGTATGTTGGCTCGCTGTATGTGAAAGTTTCATCGAGGCCTTCAGATATTCTTCCAAAACTAAGAAGTCTAGCTGGTTTTTGTGCAAGCGAACCAATAGAATTGTATGAGGTCAGGTTTTGTACCGATGCAAATAGGTTCCCTGACTCTGAAATAAACAGATTTATCTCATTTGTACTGGTTTCTCACTTTGATAAGCAGGAGATAAAATTTGATCCATCAGTGATGTGTGAAGCTATTGACATTCATTTAACCTTTTCAGATAGTGGGGTTTGTTTCTTTTAACCTATCCTCTCTTAGTCTCTTTTGCACTCCCCATCCATGTATTATTTTCTTTCTACAGATTACAACTGGGGACATTATTTGCTACCAGAAAAGCCTGCCACAAAACTGGCGAATATATTCTTCTGTTGCATCTTTTCTCCAGCATGTTTGTGATCATAAGGTAGCTGTTCTGCTTTGCTATCTTCCCTGCTGTAGGTGACATTTTTCAGTAAACTTTTTACATATTGTTCTTCCTTATATGCTTTCTTTGACTTTTGATCATCCCTAACAGTATCTTTATGGTTAGGCTACGAGTTCCAAGTGTAAAGGTTTTTGACTTTCATGTTAAAGGTCTGATACTGAGATAGTTTCACAAATTGTCCAATGAAAAATATTTTGGCGATTTATACATAAGATCTAAGTCATATTTCTGCCATTTTTTACTCTCATTTAGTTCTCTTTTCTTTTTTTGGTGGGGGTATGGGGTGTGTGCAGCAGGCTGCACGGGCATTATTGCAGTGAATCTCCATTGGTGCAATGGACTATGATATGTTGTGTCATTGTGGCCTTAAAAATAATAACTGCATTGACCCATGGTCACACGGTACAGTGCATCCAACCAGGACTTGCGCTCTTGTTTAGGGGATTTGCTTATGAGGATGGATGAAAATATTAGAACTTGCACCAATGGGCATTCTAACCATTTCAGCTCAGTCGGAATCCCTTTCCACTGTTTATGTTAGGTTTAAGAACGCGGACCAGGGGTGTGTGTCTGGCTTGCGTAGATGCAACTTTATTTTGCTCCAGTTTGATGCTAAGTGAAAATTTTAACACTTTTAATGTTGCAGAGTTCACTGTACTCTGAATTAATTAGGCACAAAACACATAACATAAGCTGCCCCCACACCCCGCCACCACAGCTAAGCACCCATCAAACCAACAAATAAATACAACAAAGGCATGTAATGGCAGAAACATATGGAGGATACATACTTAATGAATGCAGGTATTTTATTTGTGCAATTTTATGCAGAAGATTTTTCTTTACGATGATTAGTTTATGCAAACTTTTGGATATAATATAACTCTTTAGAAACTGTAAAATCTAGTCATTTTGGTGGTAGATCCAAATAACAACTGTCAATGTTACATCTGTAAAATCTGATGAGAGAGTGGCTTTGGTAGTCCAAGGAAAGTGACAATGAAATCTCAATAAAAGATAAGTAAAATAAAACAGAGTAATACTTGTTCCTGCTTATTATTACCTCAGCGGCATGTGGACCTGCATTAGTAATTTATGACACCATAATTCTACATGACCTCACAAGTTTGGTTATTGCTTCCTAAATCCCAAGATAAAAATGGCTAAAGAAGTTAACATTTTTTGTGAGCACCCCCAAAGAAAATTATAAATTGCAAGCGATGCTCAAATACTTGTACTTCTTTTATTGTTTTATTTTTGGATTTTTTTTGAAAATGTAAACATGAAATGGAAGCCCTTACGTTAGTCCTTTCATTTCATGTTTACTTTAATCCCCATGCTTATTTTATGTAGACATACAAGGTTCACCAATAAGCTTATAAGCACAACTTTTGTCAAGCTTAGCGGCTTTGTAGTTTAAGCGTTTCATTTTTCAATGCCATTCTTTCTCCTTTTATCTTTTATAATCTCTGGAAATTAAATTTCATTTTTTTAGAAAAAATGAATATTACACCTATCATGTTTCCACATTTTAATTTCTTCTTTTGTGTGTCCCTGTGTAAATTTTGTACTTTTACTTGCTAAGGAGTATTCTTTAGTGACCGGCTTCTAGTGGACTAAGCTACGCACTGTTCAGGTTGTTTTTTTTTGTGTTGGGGGGGGGGGGGGGGGCAAGTTGATGTTCTGTATAATTAGGGTGAACAAGTGCACTTTTTTGTTAACTTTGATCTCTTATAGATTGCTCTTTTGTACTTTACCAAACATATATGAATTACATGTAGGAAGAAGAATGGAAGAGACACATTTTAGAAGAGGAGATTGCTGTGTTAAAACGCCAGGCTGATACAGATCGGCTTCAGAAAGATGAGAGCATGACAGGTATATCAGCAGAACAATCTTTTTTTCTTGTTTTGAACTGAATGATAAATTAACACAGCAATATATAAACCCCATCTTTGTAATGAAGTGTGTGATCAGTTGAAACATGAACGAGACAATGCTGTGCGACAAGTGAATGAATTATGTGATCAGAGCACACCTGTCATTCTCAATTTCTCTCGCAAGGACTTGGAGCAAGCAATAGAACATTTCAAAAATACTGGTGATTTTGGTGATACTGAATATGGGCACTTATATAAAGGCATGATACACTATACCATCGTGGCAATCAAGCTGTCTAGTTCCCAAAGCTTATTTCAACAAGAGGTAACCTGGTCCACTTGTGATGCTTGGTGTTAGTTGATTCCATTAGTAATGTGAGATTATTGCACATTTCTATTCTTCGGCAATGGAGACATCCAAATATTATCACAATCATCGGAGCGTGCTCAGAGGCCTTCGCTCTAATATATGAATGGTTACCTAATGGGAATCTTGAAGACCGCATTGTTTGCACAAATAATTCTCCACCTCTCTCATGGCACAACCGCACACAGATCATTGGGGAGATTTGTTGTGCTCTGCTTTTCCTTCATTCGAACAAGCCTACTGCCTTGGTCCATAGTGATCTCAGGCCTTGCAACATCCTCATTGATGCCAACTACAGAAGCAAGCTCTGCAACTTTGGTTTGTCCAACCTGTTTCTGCAGCCTGGGACCTGCCCGCCAAACCTGATGGCAAGGCTGCCATACATGGACCCTGAGTTCAACACCACCGGGGAGCTCACAACACTCTCTGATGTCTACTCGCTGGGTGTTATCATCCTACAGCTCTTGACCGAAATGCCCCCCTTAACTCTATCAGAGAAAGTTGCAGAGGCATTGGAGAGTGATAGCTTGCACTTGCTGATAGATAAATCTGCAGGGGACTGGCCGTACATTCAAGCCAAACAGTTAGCACTCATTGGCCTTAGCTGCACTGAAATGACGAGGAAGAAACGGCCTGATCTCTTAACCAAAGTGTGGAAAGTTGTTGAGCCCCTGACGAGGAAGCCTCTTGCAGCCACCTGGCCATACTTGCAATCAGCAACAGGAGATAGTTGTGTCCCTTCTGCTTTCATTTGTCCAATCAGCCTGGTAAATAAATCTGTAATCATCATTTTTGTAGCTTCAATTCTGGATATATGCTCCCAAGGTCTTTTCCATGTAGTGCCTACAACTTGTGAATATCCTTTTCTGTTTTCCTTGAAATGTTCAGTGATCAAAATTTTAATGGTGCATGTGTGATATGTTACTCTCTTGTTGATATTTCAGGAGATCATGAAAGATCCTCAAATGGCATCTGATGGATTCACCTATGAAGCAGAAGCCATAAGAAGCTGGTTTGATAGAGGGAATATATTAGGTCTCCGATGACAAACTTGGTCCTTCCCAATCTCACTCTCATCCCTAATCTTGTCCTCTTTTCTTCCATCCATGAGTATCTTCAGCAGCAGCAGCAGCCGGATTCCTGACCCTGCTTACCAACAACAGCTGTTTGGTACCTAATTTCTTAAATGAGAATTTTCCTTTTGAAAGTAACAACATGAGGGCTGTTGTGATCTCAGATTCTCAGTTAGGTAGGAAACTGTGAAGAACAAATGGAATGTTGAGCAAATCAGGGGAAAATTTGTTAGACAAATGTTCAAACAAAAAAAATAGAATTTTTGACTGGTAACCAGGCATTATAGTTTCAACTTTAAAATTTAGAGTAGATTTTAGTTAACCCCATATTTAATAGCCAAAGTGCAGAAATCCTTTGGTATTATAACTTGTAGCGCACATAACCATTATGGTCCTAAGGTTTGATAAAGTACACTCCTGTTTAAATTCCAGAGAATATAAGTATATACTGATTACATGTCTGCGCATACATACTTTTTCGTGCATAGTGCCTATAAAGTTTTTGAATTATTTATTTTTATATGGAGATTACTAATTTAACTCTTCATTATTTATAAACAATATTAGTGTTCAAGTCTTTAAGATATGCTCTGTTGTGTGAAACCTTAGAACATAAAAACCTTAGGATCCGGGATTCTCCACAACTTTGATCATAACACTTGGTTCTTAAACCTTTTAAATTTGAATTCATGACTTAATATTGTATAAGTATTACATGGCCAGAAGTGTCCAGATGTGCTGGGAACGTTTGCTGGCAATTCAGAAGTGCTACGATTTTTGGAACTATATTCAGACCTCATTGTTTCGGTTATGCTTATGATTATAAGCCAAAATTTGAATTTTCAAATTTTAATTTTGAAGTTGATTTTGTTGTTTTTCTTGTTGTAGTTTATTTTACAGAATTTGCTTTTGAATCGCTATGGACACATATATAAAAGTTTTACCCACAAATTAATTTTTTGGTTGCTAATAAACGGGCGGATAAGCATATAAATAAACAAACGATGAGGCCTGAAAGTATCAAAGAGTAGTAGGCTCTTAACTAGCTCTGGATGTTGTTATGATTCTGATATCCATACTTAACTAGTAATTTCTTAGGCATAATAACAAGACTGTAATTGCGCGTGTGGGAATATTGGAATAGTATTATATGCGGTTCTTAATCGAGAACATCACTTCTCCACTCAGAGATGTTTTTCTTTCCGTATCTGATGACCGGACTATTACTGTTGTTCTTTACTTTGCGATGAATTAGAATGTCTTATGCGGTATCAGCTATTTATCTATGTATACATATAATTTTATTGGAGACATTAATTTTTCCTAAACTGTAGGTTACTAGGCATCGAAGAGACAAGGAAAGCTAGAGACAATGGTGACTTCGCTGCAGGTGGCTGTGGAAACTTTTGAGGCCTTCCTGAACTGTAGGCTGATGTTCAGTGTAGTTTTAGTTAGTTTAGTTGGTAATTGAGATAGAATTGATAGAGAGATCATTAGTTTAGTTCCCGCGTGACCGGTGAAACTGCTGTTTTGGTGGTATCCTCTGCTTGTAATCAATGGTGCAGTAGTAGGGCTGTTAACAAGTCGTGTTATGCTTTTGTTTAGTGTTGCACTTAGCATGTAATTAAGCTGGTGTCCCTTGCATGAACTTTGCCTCCCATCATTTGCTTTTCAGCTTAATTATTATAAGCCGTTGCCGAGATTTGGATTTTAAAACTTGGTGATGAATTTAGTTTTTCTTTTATCATAGTTTATTTTTTTACATTAGCTTTTAAATCGCTAATAACACGTATACAAACATTTAATCTATAAATTATTAGTTTTCGGCTCATAAGCTGTTATTCTTGGCTGCTTTATTCAAAGCAGGGTCCTCGCACCTATGGTCTAAACTCTAAAATGAAGGCCGTTCCAGCATAAAAATGATTGCAAACTCATCAATTACTCTCTAATCTGGATGCTTTTTAGTGCAAAGCTCCATATTTGTACCGTGGACAAAAATTAATCAACATGCTTCTAGAGCTACTGTCGATTAAGAAAAGCAAAGGCAAATTATGCATATGTTGTTTACTTGATCATTGATTACACGGGATTTATTCACTCGTACATGTATACTCCAGACGGAGAGGGAGGAAGAGAAGAAGAAGAGAAAATAAGAAGGAAGAAGAAGAAGAAATACAGAAGAATAGGAAGAAGCATGGAAGAAGTAGAAAAGCTAGCTACGCTAGTAAGTCTATCCATCTGCATATTGGAGGCCGACATTGTGGCTTGATGCGATTTCCCCATAAGTATAGATATTCTCTGATTTGATGTGTCACATTTGCCGTGGTAAGATCTTGCTGCTGGAATGTTCTATGGTTGCATGCTTTTCATAAGTTGTGTGCGCAGGCGCCAAAGCATATTGGCCATCCAGGTTTGAGATGCGGGGGCGTAATTGTCAGGACTTGCTCAACGAAGTGAAGAACGTCTGTGCTTTGAGTTGCCTGTTCAGAGATGTTGAGTTTCTTCCAAACCTCAGAAGCTAGCCGGCAGCGCAATATGATATGATATGTTGTTTCAATGGTAGGGCAGATAGCACAATGTGGATCAGATGCCCAGCATTTCTTTACCCTACTATCATTTGTGTTCAGTCTTCCTCGAAAGGCAAGCCAAAGAAAAATTTTACAAGTGTTTGGTATTTGCTTTAATCCATATGAAAGGAGCTGAGCGCCAGAGAATGCCATGATATGTTATAAGCCTGTAGTATTAGTCGTGTGATATCAATGAGTGCAAGTAGATTGGGTAATATAACTTATTTCTTTTGTTCCAAAATATAACAATTTTTAGACTTAGGAATTTATCGCGAAATATAATAACTTCTCCACTGAAATTCTCTCTCTAAACAATCACAACCCTTCGCCTTTCAATTTCCCAAAGTACATTCACTTCTCATCCAATCGTAATCCAAACTGAGCTAAGTTAAAACTTGCTAGTATATATTGTTTATAGTGCAAACTTAATATCAGAACTAATGTAAAATAAAGTGATATACGTAAAGCCATAGCAACCTCGTGCATTCACACGTGTCGACGACTGGTCGATTCTGGTTGGATATGCTCTGTTGCTAGCAAGCGACGATCGATTAGTCCAACCGCTTTACCTCTACACTTGGACATTGGAGTTTTAAAGACTACGAATTCATGTGGTACGAAGAAACGGAGTAATGGGGTTTCGCACCGCACGTGCGAAGAAAGTAGAAATCCCACTTGTACACAAAAGAAGAGAACAGCGCTAGTGTAGCAACTTGGTGTGGTGACAAAGATTGAAAAATGACAGCTTCGTTCGCATGAGCTCGACCCGTGCCACCATAATGTCCAGGGGTGAGCAGCCATCCCCTGTGCAGATGTAAAACATCCAGGAAATATTTTACCACAACATCCAGGAAAGTAATTTGTCAGACCTGTGTGTGATGTTTCAGTTGACTAGTTATCGTGCACTTGCACGTTTTGGTATTATATATATAAAAGATAGAATAATAAATATAACTTATCTATGTAGTGCACTTTTCAAGAATAAAAAGTAAATGTTTTATAGATCATGAAAATCATCATTTGAACTCTAGCCTGATTTCTGAGTAGCATGCTCTTTTGTATTCATGTCCACGTAGAACACATCACTATAGAATACATAATGTTGCCCTCAAATTATAGCATTATCTACCATCATTAGCTAATGAGACCACTTGGAGTCCTGGACAAAACAACTCCAACATGCCAATCTGAGTGATAGAAATTGGTCAGCAAGTTCAGAAATTGAACTCAGAAATAAACCAATATGTCACAATATAAACTTCAGGCACATCACCGGTTAAAATTAGTCAGCAAGTTCAGCAAATGAACTCAGAAATTAACCGGCATGTCAGAATATTAAGTTCAGGTACAACCCAGGATAAGATCATAAAATAATATAGCAAATGTTCCCAATTATGTTTCTGAATTGTCCTTCCAATAAAAATTTCAAGTGTTGCAGTCCTTCCCAAATCAAATAAGTTTACAAGATCCCAATCAGAGACGTATTTTCATATACATCAGTCATGTTTGCACAAAATTATTTCACCCCATGTAACTAAACAGTGGCAATTAGCAGATCATCGAGACCTCTCTTACAAGCAGCAACTCATCTATTATTTGTCAAGACAAAGCCAAGCTCATAATCCACATCAGGTTATCCTCCAGATATCATCGAACATTTGGTGTAAACAATATGATCCTCCAGATATCATCGAACACTTGGTGTAAACAATATGATACTCCAGCCATGCTCCGTAGTCCTCCAGAAACAACCAGGTTCAATAGTCCAGTGAAAAAAAAAAATAAAGAACAGGGCCAGCAGAAGAATCTGAACATGGTACTCTCAATGCAACCACATTCTACCTGTACAAATAATATTAAGTACTCAATCAGAAAATAATATTTGGCAAGATTATTTGAAATACTCTTGTGCATCAGTACATCAGGTTTTCCTCCATATCAATGAACACTTGGTGTAAACAATATGATACTCACCATCCATGCAACCTGGTCCTCCAGAAACAACCAAGCTCAATAGTCCAATGAATAATATAAAGAACTGGGCCTTCAGAAGAATCTGAACATGGTATTCTCTAATCAACCTTAGACAATCTGCAGATATAATATTAATTACTCAATCAAAATGTAATATTTGGCAAAATTAATTGAAATACCATTAAGTGACAGGAGCAAGTTTTAAAACATTAATAGCAAGTGACAGGTGCACAATTAAATCATTAGATGAGTGAACCTTCAATTTCAGGAAAGTAGAAAGTCATGTTGACATGAATATAAAGAATCTCATACCTGTTCAGAATAAAACATCTCGATATACAATGTTCTTTGTGCTTTTTCCAGTGGGGTCAATGTCTATCCTTGGCTTGGCCAAAATTCTGGTTGTCCCCCTCGAGACACCCCTAGAGAGTGCAACGTAGAGTTGATCATGAGAGAAAACAGGTTCAGGGAGATAGATTGCCACATTTGGGATTGTCTGTCCTTGAGCTTTGTTGATAGTCATTGCAAAACTAAGACGGATGGGAAACTGCTTCCGCTTGAACTTAAAAGGCAATTGAAGATCCTCCGAGGGGTGCAATGGAATCCGTGGTATGAAGACCCTCTTCCCAGCATGTGCACCACCGACAATCTCAGCACTAATGGAATAATTCTGAAATGCTCTAATCATAAGCCTAGTTCCATTGCACAACCCGTTGTGCAGGTCGAGATTGCGCAGCAATATGACAAGACAATAACTTTGTCCTTTAAAAGATGTGGCAATCCATTTGGTGTGAGTGAATTCAGGTACTCAAATTTATAGAAATTGGGCAAAACGTGGAATATTTTGTTCCATTAACCTAATTTACAAATCGCTCCTGAAAATGAAGAACAACATTACCTAGTGCATTTTGCATAAGTGACCATTAACATTTAAAGCTTATACATATTATATTTGAAGGTTGATTTTTGTTTATAGCGTTTGCTCATTCTGACGATGTTATTTAGTATACACACATCAACTTCACTATAGAACAAATAATGGTTTTAAGCTGTACCTTTCTCAGCTCTTCTGAAGATCGATTGCAAGACCTTCTTTCCTTGAAATGATAACGGTATGAAGTTAAAACTTAAAACCAGCAATGGATTCTTCACAGGGTACACAATTTTCGGTTATCAAATCTGCTCCATATGCGCCAACTACCATTCTGAATTCCTGATACTTCCATTACACATGTTTAATTCTTAGCCTTGCTTTAGCTTTATCCACCTGAAAACTTATACTACCATATATACAAAATTGAAATGTTAGTTCTCACAGCCATCCCTGATACTTCCATTACACATGTTTAATTCTTAGCCTTGCTTTAGCTTTATCCACCTGAAAACTTATACTATCTTGTTCTGCTACCAACCACCTGAGGAAGCTCTACCATATATACAAAATTGAAATGTTAGTTCTCACAGCCATCCATTAATGGAACCCATCTACAGTCACACAAAAATATATAGCTCTAAAGTAGTAGGACCAGTGAAGTAGTGAGCCACACAGAAGTATCATGTTTACTGCATACCTTATTCTTGTCTATTCGCGTTTCTTAAGTGCAAAAGCCTTCAGAAATGATGTCCAAGACTAAATCATGTTTTCCTGTTTATTGGATTTTTCTTTTGTGCTCCAATTGGCTAAGAAGCAAGGTCACCTGAAATGACAAACACTAAATCAGACTATATATGGCCCAATAGAAGTACAGAATAAATATATTTAGATAAAAGAAAATGTGAAAAAGAAATTAGTCAACAACAATTGGCAGCAAATGAGTGAACTCATCAACCGTGCAGTGAATCAAATGAAAGACCATAAGGGACGACAATCTAGTAATTGTTGATGATCACAGAAATAAAGAAGAAAAATAAGAGGCAGGCAGCCCAACAGCAACAAACGGGCTTGATATGGCTATTTACCCTGTCATTGCAGAAAATTGCAGTGTAGGGTTTCATGTATTTTCCATTTCAGTAAGAAAGGAACTGTTATTTTTCGCCTGAATAAAAAAGATAAGAGACCAGGCATGGTTGAATTTGCTCTATGTAAGATAATCTGCAAGATATTCAACATGACAACTATAATGTTAGTATGTATGAAACTGCAGCACCAATCACGTAATATATAGCCTGCAATTATCCACAAAGGTAAAGAAGAACCGAATAACATAACTAAAAGGAGATGCATACCATTAAGCTTGAATAAGAAAATTCAGCTAGAGAACTAATGGGGAAAATTCACAAAGAGGAAAAAAGGGGATTGAAAAGAGTCGATTTGAGTTGAATCAGGTATCACCAACATAAGAGAGGGAGGCGCACGGCTGGGAGGCCTAGCTGCTGAGTCTATCCTCTTCCAACGGTGGCAACACTGGAGGACTCACAGAGCAGCGACAAAGATGGAGGCTCAGTGTCGGCGGAAGGCTTGACCACCGTGGCTCGACGGGGTGGCGTCGCCAGCGGAGCCCTGGACCACTGAGGCACCGATTGCAGGGCGATGGCGGAGCTGCGACGCTGGTGGGAGGATGCACAACCAGGGCGAGACGGGGCAGCGGCACTGGTGGAAACCCTGGACCACCAGGATACTGATTGCGGTGACGACGGCGGCGGAAGTGCGGATGATGACGGATGGCGCAACAACGTTCAAAGGCGCGGCGGCGGCGTTATCGTGATTAGGGGAGCCACCGCGGGATTAGCGCGATGGAGCCTTGGTGGTCCACGCGTGGGGAATTTTGTGAGTTGCCATGGCGCGATTTGTGTGGCCGATGGGGAAGACCGCGGCTCCGGCTGTGGAAGGGGACGATGGCGACGTATGGGCGGCGGCGTCCGGGCAGCGGTGGAAGGGTACGACGGCGGCGTCTAGGCGGCGGCGGAAGGGGACGATGGCGGCGTGCGCCACGCGGGGAGGAGCGAGGAGGCGAGGAGGAGAGGGGGAGCGAAGCAAGGGGACGACGGCGGAGCGGCGCCACGCAAGGAGGAGCGAGGAGGCGAGGAGGACCGAGGCGGAGTGGAGGAGGCAACGACGACGATTGGGAGAGCGCGTCGGATTTGAGGATTTGTCGTTGCGGCGATGGATTGAATGCGGCGGAGGCGGGGTGCGCAGCAGAGATGGCACAGGCTCGCGCGTGGACGGTGGAGAGGATAAGGTCGCTATAATCATTGGAATCGGTGGAGCAAGGAGGATAGCGAAACGAATTGACGGTGGAGATGAGATGAGATAGTAGATGGACGGATGAGATGGGAGGTGATTTCACATGTAGGATTGCTAGGCACAACTCCTCCTTTTTATATTAGTATAGATGAGGCAGATTTACCATGAAACCCTTAAATCAATAGAGGACCGCATGAAGACATAAGACATAAGCATCCATCATTATAAGATAGATACAGCCAGCTGATATCACCAAACTAATGTGTCCATTGGTGATGCCCTGTAACAAGGAAGAAAGCAGCAGTTGCTGCTGTGCTATTTGGCCAGCCACACGACGTTTTGCCCTCTGCTGACGGCATGCATGGACTTAAGATATGGAAAATTCTTCCTCGGCCTAGCAAAACACTACTTGTTTGAATCATTGCTGGTTTTGCTGCCTCTGCTGGGGAAAGTTGGGATTTTGTGTCTGGTTCTGGAGGCCTGTCATGCCTTGTTGCAGGTTCTGAGCATTTGCTTGCATGTTAAATTGCTGCTGCTGCTGCATTCCCATCATGCTGGTAGAATTTGCGCCTCCCATACCAAACACTGTAATGGAGAGAATCGCTCGGTAAATATAAATATAACATTTGAAATAGTGAGGATTGAGGATAACTTCCTCACAAATTATTAGTACGGGAAAAGAATAGATGAATGGACAGTTCTAAATCATGAGCATTTAAAGACTTTCAACTAGTACTATTTCCAATACCACAAAGCTAGTGACTTGCCTGGACAAGACATAAATCTAGGAGATATAAAACATATATAGAATAACAGCATGCTAAAAATTTTACCAGAAATGCCCATGACTGTTTGTAGGTACAAATGTAACTACAAATATTGTACCTACAAGCTGAATCCTGCCTAACCTCACAATAGGATAAATAATCAGGAGCAATATATTTTGTTCCTCTGAGCTATGATCAGCATGTGGATAAATGCAATACCCAGTAATAATTAGCACATATATCTTCTGAGTTTACTAGTACCAAGTATGACAGTAACAGAACCAGCATAGCAGATAGTTGTATATAATCTCTCTAACAACTACTGTAGCTGAATGCCCATGCTTTGCTACGGCTAAAAGAAAATGTATTAATGTGTTACCAATTTTTTTGCTATAGGGAATATTCATCTTAATCTACTCTTTTATGTGGCTATCCATTTAGATTTGATCTTTAATATTAAGAAGTTCAAGGGGTAACCGCAAAATTTACAATGAGTAGATGGGGGGTGGCAGATTCACTGCCACCACCACTACCTTCTTTTAAAGGAGTATAGATAGTAAACAAAATTAAAAAGAATATAACACGGCACATACTTTGGTCAGTCAGCATTTGGGATGGATGGCTCCTTTGAGGATGCCCACCAGTCAAACTGTACTGATTAAGGCCTTGCATTTGTGGCAAAAGTGATTGTGATTGCATCGACCCAGGTATATTTGCCATCTAAATTCAAAAACAAAAATAAACAAGTTATACAAACATCAGGGGATTATTAAAAAGAAATCTAGAAGATAGATGACACTGAACAAACTAAAATATGTAGCAACTGACGTTTTTTTGCACTAAATTACTAAAAAGGAGGATGCTATCTAACCATCTGTGAGTTCGAAGATGCCTGTGCAGCAGTAAACATTGCACTGTTTGCAGCTCCAGTGAACTGGCTAATATGACTTCTTAGCTGATTTCCTTGGTTCAGTTGACTCTGGGACATGCCAGGTTGCATGCGCCCAGCTTGCATCTGCCTATTCTGATACTGTTGTGACAAGGCTTGATTGTACTGCATCTGCTGTTGGCCAGGGACCTATAAGGTTTTACAACAAGTTAAAAGGTTTGTAAGAAATTGTTACTGTTTCAGCAAGTAGAATACATAGAAAAGGGAAACAATCAGTGGTAGAATTACCTGTAATTTTTGTTGGGATTGGCCCTGCAGATCTTGTAGCTGAGGAATTGCGCTCTACAGGAAAAGTATGGAGAATCAAGCACTAGAAAAGGAAGGAACAATGCTTTGAAGTAAATGAAATGGAATAATTTTAAGACAGCAGCATAGAAAATGAAAAGAAATGTGCTTTTAATAGCTACATAACCTTTGGGTGCTGTGACAACTGAGATGATAAACCGTAACCCAGACAACAAAAAAGCCTCCGAAATAAAAATTACCTTACCTGTGCTAGCATCCCAGCAGCCGATGGTCTTAGTTGCTGTTGAGCATGTAGCTGCTGTTGCTGAGATGTTTGCATCAGTTTTTGCCTATGTTGTTGTGCCGTCAAATGCTGCTGGGGTGAAGGGGTGTTCATCATATTGGTCCCTGACCTAGGGGAGTTTGCATATGGCATTGGAGGAGTAGATACATTTTCAAAATTAGGCGTTCCTGTAGCTCCAGGTGATGGAGCAGGTCTGCCAAGTAACTGTCCTCCAGACACCTGCTATTAGAATGAAGGCCCAAATTTGAACATCAAGATAGAAACATCAAAGGCCTGCATGAGGTCAGGTTGGTGATTGCTCTTATGAAATGCAATTGTCTTAATAATAGTTCAAGGGAAAGCATTCTAACCAACACTTAATACAGTTGATCATAGAAAGGAATACCAATATACCATTACAAATTATATGGCAAATTGATACACGGGAAACAAAACATCTGCCTTTTGTAACTTTTTTTGCTTTCAGCCCAACTAGCAATAATATGGACATATTCTATTAATTTCGTAATGGTCAAAGCTGTTATTACTGGCACTAGACAAACCTGCATTGGATTTCCCTGGGCGTTGACAACATTAGGTACAAATGTTGAGGTATTTTTGGGGTACACACCTGCAAGTATAGACTCTAGTTATATGCTTTTGTTGAAGCATTGTGTGACATACAGACTGCACAAATGGCAACACTAAGGGTAGCAGCAAGTTATTGATTATTTTTATATAAAAAAACATCTAGAGCAGATGAACAACTCATTGATGCTATAGTTCCAATGCTCAAAACAAGGAGTGAACCATGGAGAATTGTAGGTATGTCACAGAAACAGACCAGAATTATCACCAAAATTATGTGCCCCATCTCCAAAAGGAAGTACGTCCACTAAATGGCTAGGAAGAGATGAATACATCTGCCTTTGGTCTCCCGGTACACGCAATCCTGGATAATCAGACTAAATCATCATGGACTATAAACAATGAAATTGTTACATAAAAGGAGAAGCTTATGCTAAAATTAAATTCAAAGTAATTTTTAAACTGATAGCTATATTAATACACCATTAATGCTTATCACCTTCACCATAATTTACCGCTGCTCTAAGTAGGCCTTCCTGCTCCTGTATCTTTGCAGCCTGTGCCTTGTCCAATGTAGGACCAAGATTTGCCCCCTGACGGGCTCCTAGACCATAATTCTTGCGACTTTCAGCAATTACTTTCTCAGCTGTTTCACATGCACTTCCAATCATATCTATCCTAGTCTGAAAGGAATAGCAGCAAGTCCCATTAAAATTAACAGATAATGAAAAGATCACGCAGGTATAATAAGCTACATAGGTTTGCATTTTCCAGACAGAAATAATCACCTTTAACTTTTCAATTTGTCCAGAAACTGTTAGATTCGTTATTCCAGACAACAAGTTGTCCCTCTTTGTAGCTTCTTCAGCTTCCATCTCAGGTAACAGCTTTGACGACAGCATTACAGGCAGTACTGCAGTACTCACGAATATCAAACAGGACTAACGATGTGGTAAAACTAGAAGCAGATGAACATGGGAACACAAATTGCGATGCATCCCAACCATATACAGCAACCGTGACCAATTAGCATCTTGTTAGGTCATTTTTAGATTCCTATCACACTTATCCCAGAAATAGGAAAGTGTTGACAAAAATGGCTACCCATGCTACATTAGGAATATCTTTACCAATTTACCCTAGGATAAAATTCGTTTAACTAAAGCCAATTAGCCATATCAGCCTGAAGTTTAATCTCAATATTTAAACCAAAGGAATAACTATTGCTAGGAAGTGAGAAAGGTCAACAATTGGTTCTTCATGTGTAAAACAACTCGTAAAAGAAATGACATGTATATATATGAACTACTCATTACCAAATGCAGCATAACCATAATATCTCATATATCCTTGTTGCTCATAACAGAAATCACATAGTATATTTCTTGGTTCTCATAACAGGTGACCTGTCTTCTCATCTGGCTTTGGGCACCATTGAACATGAGAAGACTCTGTTTGGTAAGGTCATGGAATCAAAAGTGGTCTGCTTAGCTGGGTAGCGTGTAACAGCTGCCCAAGGCAATATTTTGTGAAGGTTTGAACTACGCAGAGCAATTCCATTCTACATTATGTTCATGTATTCTTCTTCCCACAAACTTTATGCTTGTGGATCTACCTAACTAGTGTGGTTATTACTGATATAGCGATCGATTGGTGACACAAGAGAAGAGAAGTGGAACAGCAAGCATACTGGCAGCGTTTTCGGCATTAACGTTTCGGGGGTAGACCACAAACACCTTGGACACCTTCTTGATGTCCTCCACGATATTGAAGAGCTCCATGCTCACCATCGAGAATTGCCCAAGCACATCCTGCCTGCCATACACGCACCACGGCACGAATCAGCATTGCATAAACCCTAGAAAGGGGAAGCTGAATCCTCTACAGAGTCCAGCGGGCGATCGGGGGATGGGGGAATGGAGGTGAGGCAAGTACTACCACTTGGGGGAGGCGTTGGGGTTGGCGCGGGCGATGGCGTCGAAGTCCTCGAGGATGCGGGAGATGGCCTTGTACAGGCCCACGGCGCGCGCCCGCATCCCCTCCAGGTTCAGCTGCTGCTGCACCCCGGCGCTGAGCCGCTCCGTCCGTGGCTGCTGGTCCCCTCCTACGGGCGCCGCCGGGTTCGGCGCCCCGGCGGCCGCCCCTAGCGCCGCCGCGTCCATCCGAGCTCGCCGGATCTGCTGCGTGGAGGAGCTCGCGGGAGTTGGGGGGCTTCACAGGAGGCGGAGATGGCTTCACGCCGGCGGCGGAGGCGGCGGAGATGGGCCGTCGGAGTTAGTAGGGCGGCGCCGGAGAATTTGAGTGTTGGAGAGAGGGAGACCGCGAGATGAGGACGGGAGGGGGAGGTGGTTTTTCCCCGTTTTCACGAAAACCGGTAAAATCGGCTCAAAGTTTGTTAAAGAAAAAAAGAAAAGGTTCGCTTTGAATATTTTTTTTCAATAAAAACTTACCAAAGAAAACCGAGCAATTTGTGTTGTCCTGTAAACCATGGGATACGAGCGAAATAGACAACAAGCCTTGTTTAGTATCCGGAATTACTTCATAGTAATAGGATACGTTCCATTTCATGTTATGTTGCTTTATATTGAGACGAATGAAGTAGATTAATTTATATATTTCACGAGGAAATTTTTTGATTTTTTAACCGTTAGATTCGCTCCAATATTCATGTAACTGGGGATGGGAAAAATGAATTTTCTTGGAAGAAACACTTCTGATGCTATGATAGCATGGTTTTTTAATGTAGTTACATATAGTTAATATAATTTTATTATAAGTAGTGAAGTCGTATAAGTTGTAATGGGAAGTACTAAATTTATGACAAACATTACATGATTAGAGTTCATTTTATGACATGTTCTATTTTTTGTCAATTAGCTCCAACATAAACTCATGTTTTGAGCAAACCCCAAACATCAATATTTTGGTCCCATGTTATCTCCTTCTACTATTGCATAGGCCAATTTCATACTACCCCTTATAAGGTTTTAATCCAACCCAGACATAGCGTTGTATGTACTACAAACAACAATAAATTATAGTAGAGTATTCTTGCTTGTGAACACTGAAATCATATCATTTAACTCCTTATATCTTAAATCTCAAGTTTTGTTGCTTTCCATAAAATTGAGGACAATGCTAACAGTAGGAGCTAAGATCATGGTACTATTTGTTACTTTTTTTAAGTAAAATATATGGCCGGTCTCTAAACTTGTGTTGTGCTGTTACTTAGGTTCATGAACTTGAAAATTACACGTTTAGGTCCGTGAACTTGGTTTAGGCTGTGTTTAGATCCAAAGTTTAGATCCAAACTTCAGTCCTTTTCCATCACATCAACTTGTTATACACACACAACTTTTCAGTCACATCATCTCCAATTTCAACCAAAATCCAAACTTTGCGCTGAACTAAACACAGCCTTAATGTATCACCTTGGTCCAAACGTCCTTTGGCTGTGTTTGACCGCCAACGTGGCATGCCACGTAGGCAACACTTTCGCTCTCAGCTCCCTCCGCGTCACAACACGTCGCATATATCTCCTTGTAGCTATATTGTGACACCAGAATCCCAAAAAAGAAATCCTCAAATCGCTTTTCCCTCTCATTCTTCTCCCTACATGTACAGAAAATACTCATAATACCACAGGATTTCTACACTTTGACTATTATAAATACGGGATGTTGTGGCATTCACTATAAATTTAAATTTTGTTAATTGAATTTACAGTGCAAGGTTACCATCTAAAAGGAAGTTTTGTCTAGTAACTTCTTCCCTGTATTAGTAGTCCTCTTGCCATTTGTTCTTCACTGTTTCCTACTTAACTGAAATCACAACAGCCGTCAGGCAACTACTTTCAAACGAAAATTTGTCCCCTTCATCAGAAATTAGGTGACTGAACCCTCCTCCTGCTGCTGCTGTTGTTTCTGCTGCCGAAGATACTCATGGATGGAAGAACGGAGGACACGATTAGGGATGAGTTTGAGATCGGGAAGGACCAAGTTCGTCATCGGAGACCTATTATTCCCGCTATCAAACCACCTCCTTATGGCCTCTCCTTCATAGGTGAACCCATCAGATGCGACTTGAGGATCTTTCATGATCTCCTGAAAATATCAACACGAGTCGTCACAAATGCACACTAGAAAATTTTTCATCATTGAACATTTTCGACAAGAACATTATAAAAAACGGATAAGCGAAAAAATCATCCGAGTTTAAATTTATTTATTTACCATGAGGATCGGACAGATGAAAGGAGCAGGGATACAAACTTCTGGTGATGCCGGTGGAAAGTACGGGCAAGAAGAGGGCTTCCTCATCAGTGGCCTGACGACTCTCCACACATCGTTCAAGAGATCGGGCCGTTTCTCCCTTGCCATTTCAGCGCATCTAACACCAAGGACAGCCAGCTGTTTGGCCTCCTTGTAAGGCCAGTCTCCAGCAGATTTATCGATCAGCCTGTGCAGGTTATCACTCTCCAATTCCGCTGCAACTTTCTTGGACAGATTCAACGGTGCCATCCCGGTCAATAGCCGTAGGATGATCACACCAAATGAATACACATCGGAGAGTGTTGTGAGCTCCCCGGTGGTGATGAACTCAGGGTCCATGTACGACAGCCTCTCCATCAGGTTGGGTGGGCAGGTCCCGGGCTGCAAGAACAGGCTCGATAGGCCGACGTTGCAGAGCCTGCTTCTGTAGCTGGCGTCGTCGTCGATGAGGATGTTGCAAGGCCTGAGATCGCCATGGATCAAAGCAGCAGTAGGAGGATTCTTGTTGTTCGAGTGGAGGAAGAGCAGCGCGCAGCAGATCTCCCCGATGATCTGCGTGCGGTTTTGCCATGGTAGAGGTGTTGAATTGTTCGCGCAAACGATGTGGTCCTCGAGGTTTCTTCCGTTTGGTAACCATTCGTACACTAGGGCGGAGATTTTCGAGCATACTCCGATAAATGTGATGATATTTGGATGCCGACATTGACCAAGAACAGTAACCTGCAAATTATCTCACGTTACTGAGTATAGAATCAACTGATACTTCCTCCGTTTTCATGTTATAGGACGTTTGACTTTTTATCTAGTCAAACTTTATTGTGTTTGACTAAATTTATAGAAAATTTAACATCTAAAATATGAATCTAGTAACATTAAATCTAACATTGAACATATTTTCATAATATGTTTGTTTTGTGTTGAAAATACTACTATATTTTTCTATAAAATTGGTCATTTTTTAAAAGTCAAACAAATTATAATATAAAACGGATAGACTATCCATTAGGGTTTGTTTGGCACAGCTCCGCTCAGCCAAACAGTTTCAGCTCCACCAAAACTGGAAGTGAAGCTGGGTGGAGCTCTCTCACAAAATAAACTAGAGTTGTGGAGCTGGGTTTAGGCTCCACAACTCCACTCCAGACTCAACTCCTGAAGTTAAATTTAGGAGTTGGAACTGTACCAAACATGCCCACTAGTATCGTAATAACTTGACCAGGTTAATTTATTTAATTACCTCTTGTTGAAATAAGCTCTCGGTGCTGGACAGCTTGATCGCCACCTCGGTACCGTGCATGATGGCTTTGTATGTGCGGCCATATTCAGTATCACCAACCTTACAGGCATCGGTGAAATGCTCCGTCGCTTGTTCCAGGTCACAACGGGAGAATTTGAGAATGGCGTGTGTGCTCTGATCGCGCAGCTCGTTCACTTGTCGCACAGCATTGTCTCGTTCATGTTTCATCTGATCATACGCTTCATCACAAAGACAATGGTTTATATGTTTGCTATGCTGATTTATCTTTTAAATTCACAAGAAAAGAAAAAGAATAATTGTCCTGGTGATGTACCTATCAGTGTCTCTACTTTCTCAAGACGATCTGCTGATGCCTGGTGTTCTAACCCAGCAATCTTCTCTTCTAAAATTTGTCTCTTCATTTCTTCTTCCTACAATTTTTTAATATAATTGGCAAAGTGTAAAAGAAACAATAAAAAAACCTAGACAGCGCAAGGCTTAGTACAGTAGAAGCCATTAACTAAAGAATCAGCATTAACAAATCATATGGGAGCATAAATCATCAAACTAAACCCTTCTAAAAACATACATCACCAAACTAAACATTAAAAGAAGTACAGGTATTTATAATTTTACCCGGGACACATGAAAGAAGAAACATGAAAATATATTGGACCCCAAAACTGTAATATTTTTTTTTTCCAAATGGTGTTTTATTACACCTTTCTTCCAAAAAAATTATAGAAAATAAAAGGGAAAGCATAACATATAAAATGGAAAATGATTAAAGCAGAAAATAGTCTACACCTCCACAAAAGTTTTTTTTTCAATTAAACACAGTATGCCCCTACAGTATGTATATTAATCTCTATTATTATAAAAATTAAAGATGTTTTTGTCGGTACTTTGGTACGTCATCCGTGTATAAATCGGTTTTTAAGTTCGTTCGCTTTTGGAAATGCAGAAACGTAGTTGAGTCGGGTCTTAAGTTTGTTCGATTTTGAAAATATAGAATGAGTCGTATAAGAAATCTTTTTTAAAAAAACTCGCATGCTAACTTGAGATGATTGGACCTAATTGCAGCTCATGATTTTCTAGAAAAATATATATTCAAGTAAATTTTTATAGTGAATTTTACCTTAACTAAATCGTATAAAAGATTAAAATAGTTTTCACCCGTTGCAACGCACGTGCATTTTTTCTAGTTATATAAAAAGAAGAAAAATGTTGATGTTTAAAGAAGGAAAAACTAAAATACAACCCCGCAGGGGAGAACATAATCTAATAGAGTCTAACCAATCAAAGATCTGGTGTTGATTGGTGTTAGCTTTTTCTTTGGGCGTGGAAAAAGGTTTTCCATTACTCATTACTTGAACAATCGTCACAGATCAGTTATGATAGTCTATTGGCATTATTGTTATTGGTAAACCGTGTTTATCCACATAAATAAGTATATGAATTAAAGAAAAACATGAAGTGGAACTCCTTACATGTTCACAAGCTGAAATTTATAAGAAGATTTAATAATATGAAAATAATTTTGTACAAAACATGTTAAAATATGATAACACATTTTTTTCTTAAAAAATAAAAGCAAAGTGTTAAAAGAATTATAAACATTTCATAGAAATATTGAAAACATGAAAACACCTGTGGTATAAGTCACTAACTTCCGGAAGCAAGCTTAACTTATATCTGTGCAGCTATTGTTTTTCAGACCAAAAGGACGAAATGCATTCATAGACAGTCTGCTGCACACACCCAAAAACAAACCCAAAAAGAACTAACGGGCTGTTCAGATTGGTGTCATTTTAAATTATACTATTTTTTATAATATTGTCAAAGATGTACATACATTTAGTTTTTTTCACCAAACTTTGGTAATATTGTCAACTTACCAAAATTTTAGCAAAATTTGGTAAGGTTTATTTTGGCTATAATCTGAATAACCCCTAAATTAAAGTGTGGCAGAAATACAAAATTTATTGGACAGGTTGACGAAACTATCTTGATATCAGACCTTTACCCTAAAATATATAAAAACTTCAAAAGCCTTTATGTTACTTACTTCCTCCGTTTCACAATTTAAGTCATTCACTATATAGATTCATTAACATCAATATGAATGTGGGAAATGCTAGAATGACTTACATTGTGAAATGGAGGGAGTAACTTACAACTCGTAAACTAAGTGTGTGTTTAGTTCGCGAAAAGAAATTTTTTTTGTGTCACATCGGACGTTTGACCGAATGTCGAAGGGGTTTTTGGACACAAATGAAAAAACTAATTTCATAACTCGTTTGGAAACCGCGAGACGAATTTATTAAGCCTAATTTATCCGTCATTAGTACATGTGGGTTACTGTAACACTTATGGCTAATCACGAACTAATTAGAGCAGGTGCAATAGCAGGCTATAAGCCAGCTGCAAATATATTTTAAGGAGATAAATGAGGAGAGAGAAGAGCAGCGGGCTACAGATTTGTAGCCAGCTGTAGCACGGATTCCAAGACACAATGTGTGTATGGCAGGTGGAACTAAGTATTAATAGTGTAGTATGTAATTATTGTATAAATGAGCTATTAGATTGGCTATGATGAATTGGAGCTAGTAGTTGGCTATACTATTAAACTTGCTCTTAGGCTCAAAAGATTTGTCTCGCGATTTCATATAAACTGTGTAATTGGTTTTTTTTATCTATATTTAATGCTCCATGCATATGTTCAAAGATTAAGATTCTATGTGACGTTTTTAGGCAAAAATTTTTGGAACTAAACAAGGCCTAACCATAAAGATACTGTTAGGGATGCCAAAGAAAGCATACAAGGAATCGAGGAGGAACAGTAAAAAAAAGTTGACTGCAAAATACGAGAAAGTCACCTACAGCATGCAAGAAGATAACAAAGCAGAACGGCTACCTTCTGATCACAAATATGCTGGAGAAAAGATGCAACAGAATGATATTTTGGCAAGTCCTGTGTCTTCAAGATTTTCTGGTAGCAAATAATGTCCCCAGTTACAATCTGCAGAAAGAAAGTAACGAATTTAAATCTTGATTAAGGGAGAGTGAGGAAAGCGCAGAAGCGAGGAGAAGTGTACTCATAAACATACCTCATTTTCTGAAAAGGTACGATGAAGGTCAATGGCTTCGCACAACACCCATGGGTCAAATTTTATTTCCTGCATGCCAGAAAGTGAGAGAACATCTTCTTAATACAAATGATACATAATTCTCTTGCGTATTCGATAAAAAGAAGTTGAGAAAACACTACAGACGAGATAAATCTGTTCAATTGAAAATCAGAGAAGCTAGCTTGCATCAGTACAAAAGCCTGACCTTATACAATTCTATTCTGCCACTTCCACGCAACCAGCTAGATTTCTTAGTGTTTGAAGAACATGTGAAACCGTCCATGAATCTTTCACATACATCGTGCCAACATACCTATCTCCTTGTACAGAATAACAAATTAAATCATAATGAACAAATAAATAAGACCCAAAAAAAGAAGTTGCAACAAAGAAGTATACTGACCGAAGCCGTGCTTTTTCTGGGTCATAAAGCTTTAGAAACACCAGGTAATCATCTCTGTTGAGCCATTTCGGTATGGCAAGAGTGTGAACCACCTACAGTGCGCCAATATTTTTGATACTTCAACAGAATGACAAATCGATGGATGAAATCAGAAGGGTTCATTTCCCCAAAAGAAATAGTAAAACATTATCTGAAGTCCAAGCTCAACCTCCAGAAAAAGCTCTAGATGATCGCTAGTACTGCACCGTGGTAGCGTTGATACCTACAAGAGTGTGCATTCACAATATTAATTTTCTAAAATAAAGGCTGTATGAACTCGGAAGATCAAAAGGCAGCATTCTTCTTGACAGAATGAAAGGGATGCATAACCATAAAACTATGAAGGGTTAAACATAGCTCAGCAAAGAATTACTCTCTCCGTCCTCTAATATAAAGATTTTGATATTTTACTTGCACTGTTTGACCATTCGTCTTATTCAAAAAATTTTAGAATTATTATTTTTTTGACTTATTTTATTATTTAAAGTACTTTAAGCATAACTTTTTGTTTTTTATATTTGCACAAATTTTTTGAATAAAATGATTGGTTAAACAGTGCAAGCAAATGTCAAAATCCCTTATATTATGGGACGGAGGGAGTATAAGGGTAATAATGGCACACCTCATTCAATTCTTCGTTAAGATGTTATATGATCAAGGTAGTGCGCCTATAAATATACCAAGCTCCGAAAGTGCATTGTGCTAAAATAAAATAGCGATCAATTAATTGATAGAGTAAAATTTTGCTTGTGAGAACTTTATCTGCTCTCTTCAGCACAACTTTTAGGGAAATGACATGGAAAATGATGGAGGGCAAAATTCATGTGAAGTTTTCAACCACTAGAAAATGAGTCATTATATACTATATTCTTAGTATATAATGCCTCATTTTTACTGCATAGAACAAAACAGTATGAAGAGCCAGTCAGGTGATCACAATGTTTACTTACAGGTATTTTCTCCTCTTCGGTTGTCAATGGCCTGTCAACACGGTATGTGTTGTTCTGCCGTCTAGTCCACCACCACAGGCGTTGACATTGCACAGGGGTTCCAAATTCCTCTGTGAGCCTCTCCTGTGACAAGTTGAATCTATCAGTACTGGAGTAGGAAACATTACAATGACAGGCTGATAAACAGTCAGGCAGGGTTGTTAGTCTACATGTGTAAAGCATATACATTTGGCAAATACTCTCATTATATTAGGGCAGAAGTATCCTAAACTAGCATATTTCTGTACTCGATCCTTTAAGAAAAGTGGTGACAGTGGTAGTAAATCAGTCACCTCTGTCAAAGGTACCCTACTTTTTAATATTGAAAATAATTGAATCTAAATGGGTAACAACATAAAAAATAAAATAAGATGAATATTCCTACAATAAAATGATAGGTAACATATTTCATAGAATATTTATTTATTTATTTATTTAGTTAATATTACAATATATTTATTTTTATTCTTAGCAAAGCATTATCATTCAGCTAGTATAAATTAGTATAAATTTCACAAGCTAGGATGCCTAACGACATAAGCGGATGCAGACATAGGGCAGCTAAAAATTGAGCCCTCTAAAATCATGTTTAAATTTTGTTAAATCATCATATAATTTTTTTACAAAATCAACACTCTATTAATTTGAGTCCTATTTTAACTATATTCTTCAGTAATTTCTAACTCCGCCACTGCCTAATGCAATGGTTGGTTGGTTTCCAGGACAATACTCGCTACAACAGTGACAATGGCTAGTTCAAAATATCAGATGTCAGGTCATGCAATTCATTCATTTACCCCATGCTCGATCATTAGCGTTTCTTTTTCCCTGAACCATCAAAATAAACTAGAGTCAAGTGTCCAAGTAATGCTGACCAATTAATACAAAGAAAGAAAATATCTTCCCGTGATTTAAGAAGGATTTTTTTTCTTAGGATAATGGAATATAATTATTATTATTTTACTACCTTGAAACTGCAGATGGTCATGTCCGCCGGGACTTTGAACCCCTCGATGACGCTGAAGTCGACGAGATCGAAGTAGCGGCCATGTTTCCCAATACTCGAGAAATCCTCTGTCCTTGCCACCTGGAGTATATATATATATTCAAGCAGCAGACCAACATATTAATAATAATTATATTAACCCAAGAACAACTAACCACACCCTCCATATATATGCATGATCGGATTAATTTTGCGCGGAACCAATCTAATCTCACTATAATCTCAGCGAATGCAAGGAGAAGATGGGGAGCTAGCGCGCGGAGAGAGAGTCGCATCACCTTGATAATCTGGTGTGTCGGCGGCATGGTGGCTGCACGGCAGAGAGGAAGGTTTACGTTTTGCAGCAAAACGGCAATGGACCTAATAATCGAATCAGATGCTCGATCGATCGGTAGAAGCACAACGAACTCGTGGACTTCCTTCCCTTCTAGTACTAGTAGTAACAATCAATATAACTATCTATAACTGACCGTCCTCTAGCAAGGTAATGCTCTTTCCCCCGGGAAATTAAAGACACTCTGATCTGAACAAGGTAATACTCTATCAGATGATATACTACTTCCTTTTTACTACTTTTTACGGTTATTGTTATCCCTTTTTGGCTGTTTCGTTTCCGGTCATGTTTCCTCGATCGGTTTCGCCGCCGTATATGTCTTTCGTTAGGATGTACTGCCACACACCAACGGCCATAAGGGAGGCTGGCTAATGGGCGATCGATCTCCATCCACCCCTATACACTCCTCTCTCCCCTTCCTCCTCCCCTTCTTTTCTTCCTACTACACTATAAATTTAAAAAATAATAAAAAAATAAAGTTAAAAAAAATTTATGTATAGAAATACTATATATAAAAAATATTTAAATTCAAATTCATATTTGAATCGGGTATGTAAATTTCAGACATATAAACTTTAGGTCTATAAACTTTAGAGGTATAAAAATACTATATATAAAAATATTTGAATTTAAATTCAAATTGTATCGGATATAATTCAAATTCAAATTTAAATCGGGTATGTAAACTTTTGACTTATAAATTTTGGGTCTATAAACTTTAGATGTATAGAAATATTATATATAAAAAGTATTTGAATTCAAATTCAAATTTGAATCGGATATATAAACTTTTGATTTATAAACTTTAGGTTTCTAAATTTTAGATGTGTAAACTTGAGGTATATAAATTTTAGGTGCATAAATTTACTAAAATAGAAAAGTAATGCGGTGCCAAAAAAATGAAACCATGTGAGGGAGGGGGATAGAATCTGATCGCTAGGGGCATTCGATTGCCCCTTAGCAATCTCGATAAGGGAGAGCCAAGCTTCTTCGACCATGCAAAATATTATGACGGTGTCATGCACGTGGGCCTGGCGGGCCGCTGTACAAAACTATGGGAACAAAAATCATGATTTATACTAATAAAATGAAGTTTAAATTTCACGACGAAGTATAATTTTGTCGTCACAAAACACCAGGCAAAGAAGTTTAAATTTTACGACGACCATCGTTTCAGGCCCATACAACCTCCACAGCATTATGGTCTGGACGTACAGGTTTCCCGTTGGGCCATGAAATATATAAAAGAGAGGGCTTTTTTTTAAAAAAAAAAATTTACAGAGGCGAGGCAGTCGCATAGGAGGCCGTGAAATCCAGCCTCTCTTCAGCGCGCGTTGACGTGTCGCGACGCGGCAACGTCCACGCCAGCGCAAAACATTGAGGGACGAGCATTTTGGGTAGGTTTAAAGTCTTTAGATATGTTGAATTTTAAATATATATCTATAGTCAAGATTTATTAAAATTGAGTGTAATTACATTGTAATATATAAAATTACACGTGTATGTAGTGTTAGGACATGTTTAGATTCCAACTTTTTTCTTCAAATTTTCAATTTTTCCGTCACATCGTTTCAATTTCTTTTAAGTCAACGGCGTCAAATATTTAGGGATGGAGAGAGTATTATATAAAATTACACGTGCAATTAGCGGTATTTTTATATTTCTAGTACATGGGAGTAACTCTTTTCGGGTTTGGGCGACATAATTTTCACCGGATTACAATCGATATTTTTTTTTGGCTCTTTTGATTTTCATCTTGATTTGGGACGCTAAAGTAGTTCTCCCGTGCGCCATGCCTACTGACGTTGCCCAACTACTACGAGAAAAATATTTTCCTGTATGAGTACTGGTTGTAGGCGGACCATAACAGTTACGTTTGCAAAAATCGATCTTCATTTGTCACATACTACTTTTTAATAGGTCCATATGTAAAAAAAAATCTATTATCGCATACGGGTCACTTAAGGAGCTGCACGCAAAAATGAGCTTATTTTCCCATATGATTCTCTTAAGGGGCCGCATGAAAAATAAATTTTCACATGCGAGCCTCTTAAGTGGCTCGTATGCGAAAATACCCTCCTCTTTTCCTTTCAACACTTCAGATTTTTTTTCACCACCTCTCCTCTCTCTCTTCCTCTTTTCTCCTTATGTCTCTTCCTCTCCTTTCCCCCTCTCTCTCTTTCTCTCCTCTCCTCTTCTCACCGAGAAGGAGTGGGCGGCGCCACCGCCGACAAGGCGGCCGAGAACAGCGCCGCCCCGCGTGGATCCGGTGGCCCTCAATCTCACTGCCGCCTACTCCTCTCCCCTCTCTTTCCTCCAACGGCGGGCTCTAGCGACAGTGGTGGCGGTGGCAGGCGAGGGTGGCGGCAGAGGGCGAGGGCTCGGGCAACAGCAGTGGAGGGCGAGGGTGGCGGGCGCGGACTCCGACGGCGGCGGCAGACGAGTGGGACGGCAGCGGCAGACGAGTGAGTGCCGCGACGGGGCTAGGCATGAGTGACGGCGGCAGCCCTCTCTTGCCCGGATCCGGCGGTGGCCCTTCCCTTGTGGATCCATCGGCAACAATGATGGGGAGGAGGACAACAATGACAGCAGCGGCAACAGGACGACGAAGCCGACAACGGCAGCAGCGACTGGAGGACGAGGATGGCGGCGGCGGCGACGACGAGAGGATTCTAGGGTTAGGGTTTCGGTGTATTTTTTGTTTTTTTTAAAAAAAAATCGTGATTTTTTCTTTTTGCATGCGGTTGGCTTAAGCACCCGCATGCGAAAATCAGATTTTTGTATATGGTTGCGCTGGCCGCGTGCAAAAATCCGATATTCGTAGACCTTTGGGTGCATGCGGGTTGCCCATCCGTATGAAAAAATCGACATGGAAAAATCAAATCGTAGTAGTAAACACGCGGTCAGCATATTCATATTGTTTAGACAAACAGCGGTATGTCACTATAACGGGATTGGTCATCTCTAACGGGCTTAAAGCATCATCTCTTTCGGGCAGGGCTCCCGTCACTGAGCAAAGGTCAGTGATGTGAGAAAATATCTCAATCGAGCATCCGACCGTCATGGATGACACATCTCAATCGGGCCAACACAAAAGCCCATCACGGATGACCCTCATCTCTAACGGGCCTAGATTATAACACGTCACGGATGACTCTCATCTCTAACGGGTATAGATTATAGCCCGTCACGGATGACTCTTATCTCTAACGGGCCTAGATTATAGCCTGTTTTTTCCCGGTCTGTCACCCATCCAAAAATTGCTCAGGCCAAGCACACTTAACGTCTTAATCTTATTGTTCTTTGGAGATTGGCTTTCAAGAGAGAAATTGTAATTTGTTAGTATAAGTATTCTATTAATCCTATTAAGCCCTGGGCCATGATGTCACACCCTAGCATCCACTATTCATATACATTCATTCACATAACATAACCACATTCACATAACATCTATTTTGAACACATATTTCACTAGTAAATCCGAGTTAATTGGATCAAATATATATTTAGCAAGTATTATCATCAGTGGGAGGCAATTCAGACTTCTAGGAAAAAATAAATTTCGAATTAAATTTTATGATACTAAATGAACTCATATGAAAAAGCTATCAAAAACAAAGTTGTAGAACTCATTGAGATCTACCATTTTTATTTTGGTCATTTCTCCATCCGGATTTGATTGAACTATATAAAATTTGTATTTTAAAATATAAGAAATTCAAATATTGTTTCGGGTAGTAAATGATTTCAAATGGAAAAATCATCAACAACAAAGTTGTATAACTCATCAAGATCTATAACTTTTACTTTGGTCTTTTTTCTATATAACATTTTTTGAACAGTTTGAATTTGAATTTAAAAATATGACAACTTCAAGCAACATTTTCAAATACTAAATGATTTCAACTGAAAAAGTCATCAACAAAAAAGTTGTATAACTCATCAATATCTATAACTTTTATTTTGTTCATTTATCTATACAATATTTATTTTGAACAGTTTGAATTTGAATTTGAAAATATGACAACTTCAAACAACATTTTCAAATACTAAATGATTTCAACTGAAAAAGTTATCAACAACAAAGTTGTATAACACATCAAGATCTATAACTTTTATTTTGGTCATTTCTTCATCCGATAAAGTGATAGTAACATTGTTCACAAAATTCACATATCTCTCATCTAGTTTTATAAACTATAACACATATGTAAATTTTGTGAACAATGTTACTAGCACTTTGTCGGATGAAGAAATGACAAACATAAAAGTTATAGATCTTGGTGAGTTATACAACTTTGTTATTGATGACTTTTTTAGTTGAAATCATTTAGTATATGAAAATATTATTTGAAGTTGTCATATTTTCAAATTCAAATTCAAACTGTTCAAGAAAACATTATATAGAAAAATGACAAAAAATAAAACTTATAGACCTTGATGAGTTATACAACTTTGTTGT